TAAAACAAGTCAAACCTATATACAAATGATCGTTACACGGTTGGTTACCACAGTTGTATACATAGCATTTAACAATTGTATCTTTTTATTCAAAGTCCACACAGGTTGGTTTAGTTACTTAATAACACAATTTGACAAGACGAAATATCCATCCTGATCTGTTATTACAATACAGTCTATGAATAATTTCACTTTAAAACCACCACTATAACGTTTTTGCTGCCATCATAATTTCAAGATGTCCTTTTCCTCCCAGTTTAACACTTTAAAATATCCACCTGATTTGATTAGGATACAGATTTGAAAGAATGTGATTACAAATAAAATTCTCGTGCGTACATCTATTTCTAACATTTGAACTTGGTAGCAATATTGAAAATGTTCCATTTGAACACGCAAAAATACATTAGTCTGAACATATAATACTATTAAATAATATCAAAGTTAAGTTAAGTTAAGTTAACCAAACTTCACACTAATCATTCCTTCATCGATTGTTGTAACAATGTTCTGCATTCCTACACTACAGACTTTGGCAGACTTCTCACAGACATTTTCCATTGTACCACTGTACATGAATATTGACTTCCAATACCACATTTAAATCGAACAAAGCACAAAGATACGTTGGAACTGCTTCTGTGTATTTGAAAAGTTGTGACAGAATGGTATTGTTGAGACTCCAGCTTCCTGAGCAATCTTACTTGTGAAAACAACTATTGATTTCGAAGTGTAGCTGAAAGTATGTAAATTTATGGATTGTGAACTTAAAAGCTTTGTTTATTATCTTAAAGGTACCAAGAAATATATTTAGTATCATTATAATGGTATTTTGGGTCAAAGAGTTATTTTGAACCTTAACTCTCACTTAACGGATAAGAACTTTGCTCCAGGTAGGCTCGAGGCATGGTTTCGAATCTGATTGTTGTCCCAAAACTCTGTTGTGCATGTTTTTTCCGTTTTCCTGAGAAACATTGGAAGCTTCCTTATTCGAAATATTTAATAGGAGTATCATTATGAAAATATATCTCTATGGAAAGAGTAAATGCATAGTTCTCCAGGCATCAATATCCTTTTAATAACACTTCACTGTAGAATGGCCAATAATTCGCTATGAACTAGACTTAAAATATTCAAATCCTTCAGAATAGGAAAACTTTTGTTTAACATTTTTAAAAAATGAGCAAATGAATAAATGTAGGTGTTTGTGCATTATCATACATAATAAATGCTAATTGCACTTACTAATTTTTATCTCTATTTACTGTTGGGTTTAAGCTTTCAATTACTACTACTTCATTTTTAC